TCTTTACATTTGTAGTTGCAATCAAGTTGATTGTAAAGCAAGAGAGGAGAATTCTAAATTTTAGATGCTGATTTGCTTCTTTGTATTAGATGATTATTGAGCTGCATTCTTGTAGAAAAATTACAAGGTATTGTAGGCATGGCAATTAAGAAAACATGGATTTAAAAAAAATTAAGTTGACTAGTAAGTTGGCATTTGGTAATCAATATATTATAATAAATTTCAACTGTCATATTTTGTTTCTTAGGTTGCAAGGACGTTGATAGGATATTTAATTCCATCTCAATTTTGGAGATTTTTTTGTACTATGAAAGTATAGTGAGGAGCTTGTTAGAATTTTTTAATTTGATTCAAACCAAAAGCTAATGGTGTATTGTGAGATTGAACAATGGAATAAAAAGTTACTTTTTTAATAGGTTGTATATACTTGATTAATTCCAATTAATTTATTTATATTAGATTGGTGCACCTAACATCACTCCATACTTCATGTTTAATCCTATCAAAGAAAAAAATAATATTGAGTAATTATTAAAATATTAACTTAAAAATTACTTCATAACATTTAAAATATTGATGCATTCTTTGCAAATCTTGATTTCACCTAAATATTTATGTATTGGAAAATTATAGGTTAAAAGGTAACTTAGCTAGAGTAATATATTTTCAAAACTCCAAAAGTAAAAAGTTCGCATCAATAAGAATCAAAAGTAATACAAATGTTCAAATTCCAAACTAAGGCTTGTATTAGTGCTTGTAAATCTTCTTGTCAATATTCACATAACTTTGGCATAAATGAGAGAGATCAAAACCTAACATACTTTAGTTCCATTAGAATTGATTTTTTTTTATTATTTTTGAGAATTTTTCATCAAAATTTAACAATGAATCTTAGTAGTTTCAATAAGCATTAGTAAAGCCAATAAAATATTGTAATAACTTCAAGTAATTTTTGAGGTCTAAATTAACAAATATATCAATTAATTTTGAATATTATTCAAAAAAATATTTTAAATTTTGTTGAAATTTTATTATCAATATTAATTTTAATTTTAACATCAATTTTAATTTTTTTAAATACTATAAAAAATATTATTTTAATTTTTAATTTATTTTATTATTTATTTTAATTTTAATTTTAATTTTTTTGAATACATAATATTATATTATTATATTTTTTATTTTATTTATTTGATATGTAATTTTTTTAATGCATAATTTCTTTTTTTTAATATATGCTTAAAAGCTTAAGCATTATAAAGATAATTGTAATCCAAGGTATATGGTGTACATAGATTGAAATCAACCGTATAGCTGGAATGAATAATGAATTATCAAGTTAGAATAAGCCACTAGAAATCAATTTCAATACTAGCAAACATGATCAATATGATAAAGTAAGCCAAACTCTCCTATTGAAACTCAAGTTGATAATTATGAAGCTCTTGAAATTTTATATTTGCAAACCAATAGAATTTTTAAGGATTACAAAGTTGGCAAAAGAAGCTAAGGAAATGTAACTAATAGGAAATATGAAAGACACTATTGAGGCAAGGAGAGATGTAATTTAGGTGAAGTTGTGAACAAAATAAGGATGAAGATGGACAACAATGTATTGTTCTTCAATAACTTCAATATAGAGAATATCATAAGCATTTGAACAATTTTATGACATGTCAGAAATCAACATTTGCAACCACCACCATTAAAAAAAAATGCTTGAGTATCATTGTTATTGTAAGCAAGAATTTTTTATGAAATAATGAGCAAATAAGAGCTGCATTAGCAAAGTATGAAGAGCATAGAAGTATCAAAAAAGTAGTAATAAACCATGATATTCTATATATAATTTTTACAAAGTGTTGTTATAGAATTTGATCATTAAAAAAAAAAAAAAAAATCAAGAAATACTAACTAAGAAAAAAGAAAGGAAGATTATGAAGTACATTTTATCCATGTGTAATAAGGGTCTAGATTTAACGCCTATAGCTTTGAAATTAAAGGTTTTTAAAATAACTATGACTCAATGCATTCCATTCAAAAATGAGATTCATAGTGACATATGCTTGAGGTGGTTTAAAAATTGTCACCTAGAATTTATGGTCAAGATAGTATAACTCCTTGTGTCTTTTAGAGTAAAAGCACTATGCAAAAAAAATATGCACATCTTCTATAATAATTTAAGTATGTTATATACATTATATGGATATTTTCTAAACATGGTGTAGAATTGTGATGAGTGTAGTATGCAAGTAGAAAAAAATAATGGTGTATTTGTAGTTCAAAGAGATGTTTACTACATACATCTCACCATTCTAGATCAAAGAAAATGACTATTAGTGTTGGTCTATGTCAACGCAACTGGGTTAGGCATATTATCATTCTACATTTTTAGAAGGAAATATTTTTGACAAAACTACATAAAGTATTACAAGGCAAGTGCAACCATGGCAATGCAACCTAAGACTTAAATTACAAGTTATTTGTACTTAATAGTGGTTTTTTATTTTATTAAGAATGTAAAACAACTTGATAGTATTATTCCTATTTAGAATCATATAATAATCCTTGATGGACATGCAAGCCATGTTATTATTAAAGTGGCAAGATTAAGACAAGACATAAGATTAGAGATTCTAATCCTAATATTTTATATATTGCATGCCATGCAGCCTTTAGATATAGGTGTATTTAGTCCATTTAAGAAATATTATGAAATGTTTGAGCTTAAAACTTGCTTTTATATTCAACAATATTACCAAAGATTTTATCTCAATTGGAATCTTTTTGTTTAATAAAATGACAATAGACTATCATATTGGCCAAAGTAAAATATACTTAAAATTTTTAAAAGAAGTTAGATGAGGAAAAAACAATGTAATTGGGATTTCCATAGAGAATGAAAGCGATAGCATAGAATCAATTAGTGAAGACATACTTGCCTTGTTGATTCATAATATTACAGCAGATTTGGAATTGGCTTTAAATTCTTCCACTAAACATATTTTTATTAATGCAAATATGTCAAATTTGGAGTTGACAAAAGAAGTTAATAGAATAAACCTTGCATGTTCTTATCTAAAATCTATAACTTACTTCTATTATACATATGATTAATCTAAAGAGATACAATGTGGATCATATAAAGGATTTTTTTTATATCATTAATATTAATCTTAGAAGCTTGTATGAAGATTGTATAGCAAATCTAAGATCAAAACCTTGAATACAAAAGGGAGAAATAAAGAGCATGAATTTGACAAGAAGAGTCAAAATATAGAAGATTGATAGATCTAAAAGAAAAGAAAATTTAAAAAGAAGTTCACCAAATTATAGTCATAGGAGAACGATCCTACAAAGCTGTTAAAAGGAAGATTGTTGCAATAGAGTGTCCTTGCAAGGCATTTGAGCAAAAAGCCATGTGCAAAGCAACTACACATGCAAACAAGCTATAACATCAAGATTTACAAGCACAACAAGAATCAATGCACTTGCAATGTCTAATCTTATAGGCTGAATCTTATGTGCTTTAGCTTACAGGAAGCTTGCAAAGATTGTCAATATAATCTAGCGTCAACATTTTTGCATAGAATATATGGAGCTTTTCAAATTAAGTCGGTGCTACAAGAGATTGTTTGCCCAATATGGCATTACAAAGATGTTGCTAGCCTAGGTCGGTACTATGAGAGAATCTTTAGCCTAATTTAATACCACAAAGATGTTGTCGACCTTAGTTAGCACTACAGAGAGGTCCTTGGCCAAATCCAATGCCATGAAGGAATAGGAGGTTGTTGTCCAATACTTTAATTCAAATTGTAAAAAAAAAATTGCAAAAGTGTGGGGGGTTTGTTGATGCAAAGACTCCAACATAGAATATAGTAGAATAATATAATTTAGGGCCTGTTAATTAGTACACATGAATCCATAGATTTGAATCCAGAACTAGGTACAAGCTTACTTGAAATTAATCTGCAACATTCATCCTTACCATTGCAACTAAATACTTCATTGCAATGTCTAGCATATAGGTTGATTTGTATTTTATTACTTCTTCTAGCACATGGGTTGCAACTCATAAGTGGCTCTCATTTTCTATTTGAAAGCCTATTTTAGAACTATACAATCCATATTACAAATGCAATAATTATCTATCCATCCAAACTCTATAAATTTGTAACACATTTTGATACCTTACTTGTGGCATATATAACTCCATGTAAAGAGAGATTTTAAGGGAGCCATTGGAGCGAAATCAAAAGATGGAAGATGTGTAAAATATTCTTTAAAATTGAGTAGAAACAAAGAAGAATGGTGGCAAAATCCCACTCAAACATAGTAGATTACATATTGTCAAATGTTCAAATTTTTGTTATCTCATCTATACATATGTAGCATAGGATTAGATAAAGTTTGATAGCATGATTAGGTTCCACACATCATAAATTTATTAAAGTCGGATTCTTAGGCTTTTAACTTGCCACCAAACGGAATTAGGTTGATTTACATGTCAAAAATGGATCAAAGAGAATCTTTAACTAAAACATATTTATAAATTTTATTTTTAGACCAAATTGTATAAAAAAACATTTGGAATCTTCTTGATTTCTATTTCCCTATGGAGGTATTTTTTCCCATTTTTATACCTAGTGGATATATGCTGAAATGCAAGTTATTAGAAATGGATTGTCTATCTTACAACATTACAGTCAAAGTGAGAAACTAAAAGTCCATTAAGGAGATGTAAAGAAGGGACTTAAACACTGAAATGGGAACAAATGTTTCCAACTTCTTGAGGATACTCCATAACCTAAAGAAGTCTCCAGAAGAGCTGATGAATGAATGCTAATGTAACAGTAATGGAGATGAGAACAATGTCCAACATGGTGGGGATTTGTAGTTGAGGTGGACCTTCAATATATAGACAATTGAGAAAGAACCAGTATGTGGGGGAGATGAGCTTTTTGATACTAATATTCATCCACATCAGCCGTGTGCACAAATTCCAAAAAGATTTAATGCGTGTATATAAGATGGGGGCCTAAGGTAAAAGTCTTTGGATGCAATTTCCGTAGAAGTTGGTAGCCCAAGGAAAAGAAGTCTCCTCAAAAGAGTTCCAGACAAGGTGATTAAAATACAGTTCATAATACTCGAGGGCCATACTTGAATAATGCTAGTAGGAGTCAAACTCCTAGCCCTATGCATAAAGAGGTCTACTCTAACCAAAAGTGTTAGCCTCTATGGTACATGGCCTTATAACTTGGTGAAGATGATCAAGGAAATATCATCTCCAGGGATAGCCAGGTGCTTCTCTCCATGTGCAAAACCGCTGACTTGTTGGGCACCCACTACCATCCCCTGCTGCGGGGCAACCAGAGCTGGAACTGCTGCTTGTATTGTCTACCTTCACAAATGCAGGGCAGGCATGGGTAGGGTGCTTTTGTGCACGCTCCCGGTAATCATTCTCGTCAATATACTTCGGGTGAGGGATGAACGACACGCCCTTCCACATGAGCTGCAGTGCCTGAGGTCACCGTAACCATGCATTCACGTCAATGGCTATTAGCATTCTTCGCGAATGTTGTTCTTTTGTGCGACAGGACAGTGACCATAGAACACCTAAGGTTTGGACGACTAGTGCGATCGTGGGACATCTATAAAATACATAGTGGAATCGTACTCTATATTCTAAAAATGAAAAGCAGCAAACCTTCAAGGCACATGTTACTAAGAAAGCTGCGAGGTTTGTCAGTAGAAATGCACCACTTTTCAGTACCTGCCAGTAAATCCAGAACGCGACTTTCTGCGGCATGATCCATGTAAAGGCCTCGGGGTCCACTGCTCGTGTAACCCTTTTGGCTTTCAGAATTGCTTGAAAGTAATTTCCAAGTTCAGGGTGCTGGACCCCGATGCACAACAACAGCTCTTTCCCAGGAGTGGGAGCCTGCATCTGCCATACTGCCTTCATATCCTGCGCAGTACCTCCAATTTGACAGCATAAGGTGTCCACAATTTTATCGTGTAGCAACTTCTACAGCATGTCAACTTCGTCCATCTAAACGAAAACAATCAAACATGGCACATCTTAAAATTCTTACTGCTGAAGGCTCACCATGAAAGGACTGACGTGCAGAGGCTTGGCCACAAGATCTGATTCGGGGTTAAACAGAAAGGTAACCCTTTCTGCCCAAGGCGTGTTTGTAACCTGTTTGTCGACCAGATCACTGCAGAATTAGACCAGGCTCAACATTCATGGACCATTATATTTCTTCATACAACTATAACAATTTAACCAGCCTCCGCACAGAGGGCTTTCTAGCACAGAAGAAAAGTGATGACAGGCAGTTAGCTTTGTAAGTATTTTCCCAATACTAGCAAAACCTAAGAATTTAGAAATAGTCCACAAAATTTGCTCGAAACAGCCTAAATGCGTTTATATTACCAATTCATATCCTCGTACGGGTACGGGTACGGGCACGACATATTCAACATCGTGAGCAATTCATGTTTCAAAACTTGAAACAAAACAGAAAGCCACACACAGAAGTACAGAAATACTAGCACCTCAGCGATGCATTGAGCAACTCCACCTTGCTCATCGTAACAGTAGTAAACACTCAAAGGATTTTGCTCGTATCCTACACTCAACGGCATTGTCAACAACCACCTGCAGATTTTGGAAACAACATTTCTTTCAATTAGGAATTGAATCATCTTGTACACAAAGAACAGTCACTTCTAATTGTAGACTGAACTTGAATAAAAATTGTGAACCTAATTTCATAAGAACAAAAGGCCACTGACAGACCGAAAAATGGGTAAAGATGTAGGGGATAAAATGAGACGCGAGGAGAAATTTACACAGGTCCGGAGGTTCCTGCGATCGACCGAGCTTCAGAAGCGGACATATGATGGGACGCAACGAACCAACGCGGTGGCGCGTCCAAATCAATAAACGCATACCGCACATTGTACTCAAAACGGTGCACCACCGGCTTTCGGCGTTCGTGCCAGACCTTGCCTTCGTAGAATTCCACGCCCCCTGCTCCCTTAAACCCACCTTCACTACCCCGCGATTCCGTCGTCCCCTGCGAAAGAATCCGGAAGGCGAGAAGGAGCGAACGAGCGACCGTAGAACAGAACGTGGAGGCGATATCACACAGCAGAGCAATTAGCTGCGCTAGCGCGCTACCCCTCCCCAGCATCTCCACCTCAGCGGGTGCCATAGCTTACTCACTCCTCTCACCTCAAACCCACCAAGTAAAATACAATTCTGACAGAATTAGGTTATCGACACTCTCGCTACTCCCATGCGAGAACATTCCACAACGTTTCTCCCACTGCTCCAGTTCTAAAACCCTTGGTACCTTCTCAGCCTGCAATAATTTCTTCTTCCAACACCATCACGCAAGCAGCAGCAGCATTTATGATTTTTAGAATTTGTAGTCAATTTCGTGGGTTCGCACCTCGGTTCCCCTTCAGCGTCAGCTCTCACATCCAAGATACGAATGGTTGCTGCAATTTCGTGGCGGACGCATCGAATTCGCGATATTTACGGCTGCAAGTTGACGCACCAATGAAGACATTTCGAGGAGGTTCTGTCAACTTTCATCCATTGTCTGCATTGAGATAGAATTGCTTCAAATGCATGATGCATGCTGGGAATTTTCGGTGTTAAAGAATAAATGCTGCCTGTACTTTTTACCGTATGAAAATACTGTTGCATACACTGAGAGCATTGCAGAATTAATTCAGAGCATGAGTGCTGAAGCGAGAGTGAACATTGTTGTGTCGCCACTGTTTTATTGCAATTTGTAACCCATCAGAGTCTAATAACATGGGGTTTGAGGCACAAGTATGGTAATAGGAACTAAGCATCAAAAACCAATTATGGTCCGCAGAAGCGAGCTAAACGAGAAGGATCTTACAGATACAATCCGCGACCACCTTCCGGAACTTGGAAACCTATGGTATGATATGCTCTTCCCCAAAGCAGTCTATGAAAGTGGTTCGTGCTCGCTTCGCCACTTATTATTTGTCCTCATAGACCTTGACCACACATGATGGGAGGGATGGTCAAAGCCTATGAGAACTCCTCGACGGAGTACGGCCGCCGGAAAATTGGAAAAATAGAAGAAAAAAAATATGTCTAATGGTGTGTAGAGTGTTTGAGGTGATGGATCAGCCAGACCATGTCTTGAATTGATGCTGGTTGAGTGCCATACCCATCTCACAATTCACAGCTTTGTTGAAAGTTGCTGGAATTGGTTGTCGATATAGTTTGCTAGAGAATTGTTGGTGGTTTTGCTGAAACTCTTGAGAGCCAAGATTTGACAGGCCAGAGTGTAAACCCACCCCTGATATAGAATTGAAAGAAACAGCGGGATAGTTAATGTCGGCAGCCCATGGCGAACCAGTTTCAGTCAGAAACGATAGCCCTCGATATTCATGGCGTGCCATTTTGAAATCTGGGGCTTCAAGAATCTCTTTAAACTCCGGCAGTGGAATGTGCATGCTTGACTGCATCGGGCCCACGAAATCCTCTCGTGCTCGTTTGTAACCTGTCCTCGCTTGCCCTGGGTTGGCGAGGCTCCGTTCCGTGTCGTCAGAGGTCGTTGATGATTGGTAAGTGGTGGCGGTGGAGTGGGAGTTGCTCGGTGGATTATCTTGGCAAGCTGGATGGGCCTTCTTGTGCGCTACAAGATTGCACTTGAAGGCGAATTTTAGTCCACATTTGCATTCAATCGGCTCACCGCAAAGCTTCTCGTGGTCACGCACATCCACCTGAACAATGTTTTTGAGTTCGGGTTAGAGCTGCACTCATAAGTTGAAGCCATTGTGGAAACATACACATGGAGAGTAACTGGGTAGTAAGGATGAAGCATGCCATCAACGAAACGCGTACCTCTATGTAGAATTTCTTCCCGCACTTGCGACATCCGAATGGCTTCTCCCCTTCCGAGTGCTTCCGACCGTAATGACGCCTGAGCTCGTAGAGACCCACGAAAGTCTTCTTACACTTGGGACACCTTGAGGGGATCTTCTTATTATGTCCCGCCTTCAAGGAACTCGTCAAGGTCGGTAACGAGCAGCCTTTGCCTCCGGCGCCTCCCTCGCTCCAATGCGTCTTATGGTGCATCTTCATTGTCTGCGGGTTCTTGAAAGTTTTATTGCATCCATCGTACTGACATCTGAATGGGCGCCTGTTCTTTATCAAGTCCACGGAGACCACGGCTGCTTCAATGTTGTCATCAGTCTCTGACTTCTCAACAGCCTTCACCTAAGCCCCAGACAAGTGAGACAACACTCAGAAACATTTCAACGATACAAATACACAAGCGTTCACAGACAAGTCGATAATGCTCAGGTATTGAAAACTCAAAGGTTTGTTACCTTAGCGGGATCGTCGGCGACCGAGGGGCTTGAATACAAACCTCCAACATTCTCTGGCAAGTCCTGAACCTCCACTTTAGGTGCCACCACCAGTTGGGGAGTGTGTCGTAGGTACGCGCTTCGAGCGTCAGTGTGATCAAACATCTGTTTTTGATGGTCCTGTTGACGATGCTTTTCCATCCGGTCTTGCACCTCTCCCCTGGTCAGTTGCTCTAAGTAAGCAATCACACTGGGTTGCGCATTGTATGTAGTCACCCCTGGCGCCACCATGTTCTTCAATGTACTGACGAGGTTGGGATGCATAGTGACTGGACTTGGCACCGGGCTCAGCACTGGGCTTGACATCGAACTTGGAACGGGAGTGCACCCATTCATCTGCTTCAGGAACTCGTCCGAAAGCAGGTCGGATTCATCCGTGGAGTACACGGATGAGTCGCTGAAAGACAGCGTTGGAGACAAACTATTGGCAATGCCGAGGATGCTAGTTGGAGTACTCCCATACACGTACTCTGGCCACGGAATGCCAAGATGTGGATTGTCAGCGAAGTGATAAAATGGCCCACCTCCCATGCCCAGTGCAGAGGCCAGAGCATCGTTCATTATGAAACCCGGATTTATGGAGAAGCTGGGCGCTTGAAAGCTTCCTGAGACATCGGCGTTATAGGGATTAGGTAGAGCTGGAGGAGCAGCCGCCGTCATCTTGACAGTCCTTCCCAGCTTACAAGTCGATCGAATAAGTGAAGTTTGTCCTTGTCGAGACCTTCACGCAGACATGGAATTCGTTTCCTCCACGTCCAGGAGATCTACAAAGTCTTTATTCCTGTAGGACAATCTTCACTGAACTGAGCTGCTGTGAAATAGAAAAGTCCACAGCTGGAGTGCCAGTGGGAAGCCCCAACCAGAGACGTCTATAACGTTACCCACCTTTCTTTCTCGGCCATTAGTTATTGAGATCCGGGACTAATGTGGTGCCAAACCAACAGCAGGAACAGAATAACTCGCTTGGGTCTTTAAACGTAATAGAATCATGGAGAGCGGCAACAGGCCATATTAAACTACTTCCATGCAAAAAGGATTCAAAGAATTCAAACAACCAGATACTACGAAAGGAACAATGTGATAAAAACCACACGTAACCAAGAGTGATACCAGTTCACTGCTGCACGTCTAGAACTTGTGAGACCTAGCTGATATCTTAATACAGATCAGGTGTGATTTTAGATCGCCGTATAGCCGAGACGAGACTAGAAATCCATCATCTGGTTCAATCTGCGTCCAAGTGAGTTCGACAGATTGCGATTCCGTACACAAGTCCCAACCTTAAACTAATGCGGATTCGCGTTCGCCGAAGTGCTCCCCTCTGGACTCATTGGATCAAAACCAACAAACATCCGCTTGTGAGTGACTGCACTATCTGGACTCCAAGATCCTGTAATGCTCCAGATCCAACTGAATCAGCACACCAAGGTTCCTCCGTAGAGAAAGTGTGTTGAGGAAGATATGATCTCACACACTGCGGATTTGACTCTGGTAAGAAGCGGGAACACTACCAGAGTTTCCCAAGATTGTGTCCAAGGCAATGTAGATCAAGTCGGAGTTCTACTCGAACCCGATTCGACCAGGCAAGCTGACAGGAAACTCTGATCCAATGCAGCCAGAAACTTTCGGGGGAAAGGGAGAGGCAGGCAGCACCAAACAGCGATCTCCCGACTGCAGCCGATAGAATGCGATATAATGCTGCGATTTTCAGGGCTTATCAAGAATGAAACCAACACTAAACCCGTTGACCTTCAACACTGGCAAACTCCGTGTGGTCGAAGTCCAGGACAAGCACAGGACAAGACTCGAAAACTACAAGACGGATGGGTGAAAGAAGTGTTCGAGATGCACTTATCCCAGCTGGACAGTCTTTTTATGTCCATGCAGCAGCCTGGCTGAATCTTTTCGTCCTTCATCGTCGCAATTGGGACGGGGGGATGTTAACACAATGTTGTATCCCAGAGGATGGAACAGAACGTTTGTCCGCACTACCGTGGGGGACGACATTGTGATCCGGTTCAGATCAGATTATTTTACGGATTTTATTTTCGACAGCTGAGTAGTTCTAGAACACCAGTGCACACATCCGTCACGTCCATCGACTTGCCCTGGAATATTCTGTCAAGAATCTGGACCCTCACGTCACAGAACACCCTTCCCGCATGTGTGTCAGTTCCACTTCGAATCGAGCACATGAGATTTCACCGATCTAGACAAAAATAATCAACCCACCCTAAAACGTCATCCTCGCAAAAGTTTTCGCAACCGACATTTTTGCAAAAAGAAGTTAAGCATGTCAGCTTACTCGTGCATTGAGTTACAGTGTTAGAAGAGCTTCCGCATCTGCAGCAACTCTGTACAGTTCACATGGCTAAACGGCGATGAGATCGATCGAACCTCATTGCGACAAAGGTGATGGCAGATCCACGGCACCTAGCTCCGTGTCCATAGCACAAGGCGTGGCATCAACGCGAGAATTTCCTTTTCAAAATGCCTGGGAAGTGCCACTTGCGCAAGGCCTAATATAAGCAAAGCTTAAATTTTGCAAGGGATGGGGGTTATTTCACGTCAACTAGAAATCATGCTGAGCACTGGGGTTCGCTTTATAGACTCCACTGCAAAGGGTGCCGAAAATAACGCAAGCGGCTTGTACCATTTCCTCATACGAGGCCCATTCAGGCCTTAATTTGGATCTCCGAGGCCTGCTGGCCATTCTTCCCCGTGCCTGAGCTCTCGCTCATCCCATCCACTATCTTCGCCCAGCCTTGTCCCATGACATTATGCCTGATTAGTCGTCGCTAATTACCTACCAATTTCACCACGTCTTACGCTGCCCAATAGGACCATCTCGTTTGCTTCACGGGTCGTCGCAAACCCCACAAACCATCGCTGCCTGAACAGACCATCTCGTGTCTGATTAGTGTTCGCTAATCAGACGCTACTCCTACAGTCGGATTCTCTCGTGCATTAGTAATCGCTGTTGCTTGTTTAAACTCGCACTTCTCACTTTTATTAGTAGATGCTTCTAAGAATTAATTAACATAAATGTTTTTTTAACTGCAGTAAGTTTGTGATTCTACTTGCACAACAAGGTATGAATATAACAAATGGTTGTTTTTTCTTTTGTAGTTTTCTCGTATTTTTCTGTGTGTGTGGTGATATTGATGTTAATTTAACTCGTGCGTTTCAGATTTTGAACATATCTCACAAAACCACTCATTCATTTGTACATGTTTACATATATTGTTGTTCGTGTGTGTCATAGCCTGAACAGTGTATACAATAGTATATGAATGATGATTTAAAACTATGTGTTGGAATAGAACGATTATAGCTACAAAGAGTAAAAGCAACAGTATATGTAGATATATTTATATTTATTGATACAACTAGAAACGAAATTTGTAAAACAATCATTGAAGCATTGTTTGAGATTTACTAAAGAATGTTATTTTATTCAACATGCAACTGATTTGTAGATAATTCCCACCACATTGTTCCTTAATACACAGATGATAAAATTAGAACCTATTACACTAACACACATGGTGTGGTGTCTTTGAGTACAGTTACCATGAAATTTAGTAAGATACTACATTCATTGCATCCCAAGACATAATTGTGCAATGGTTGATGTCATAAACTCACACATACACAAGCATTTATGTATGTGTAAATTCATTCCATGCTCATGCTCTTGTCTTCAGGTTAGCATTTCAATTGCTGATGAGTACTAAAAACACTCTAATGCATGTTCCATCACCTTCATGAGGCCCATAAAAATGTTATAATGTAGATAGTTAAAATAAGTAATACTCATTTACTCCTTATAAAGAATGTAAACATATGTATTCAGAATTGATGTTTGGGTGGTAAACAATTGGAGGGTTGGAAATGGTGCCATTTTATATATATATAGAATATAATATAACTCAGGGGATAAATCAAAGGAGACAAAAACCATCTTTGATTGGTTGGATATTTCATTGTTTTTATCAAAAGTGAAGTAATAACTCAACTATTGATCAATTAGAGATCAAAGTCTGGATGATGTTGCTAAAGATTGCCAAGTGTAGCACTGCAATATCACTAAGCTTAGAGCTCAATAAGCTCCCAATTGTAATTTTCAACAAATATTATTCATGGCCAATAGAATAGGTTTCCACTAGAAAATGTATATATATATATATATATATATATTGCAATATAACCTCCTCCATAGAGAATGTCTCAAGCTGACATTGGGTCCAAGTGGACTGTTTCCACTTCAGCAAATGAGGTACACATAAGAGTAGCCTAGTCCACGTAGGCACGCAAACATGGATGGAGGTCCCAAGAGTCATCGACCTGGCAAAACCAGGTCCTGTCCGACATCCCAAGACCGAACCTACATGAGGGGATGAATGGAAGGATGAATGTAAACAATGAAATCGCCCCTATATTGGATGATGTTGCAGAGGGGGCCTACAATCTGACGGTTTTAGGGTTTCCAAGGGGTTTAGAGTTCATAAAAGCATTGATTGACGAGGCCTAGGACGGCTGACCAATTGCCCTTCTCGCTTTATGTCTCCCTCTTGCTTCCAAATATTCGTGTGAGTATTAATTCTGTAGTCCCAGTCTCCCTATTGGAACATTGCCAACCTACTTTATTTTTTACTTTTTCGATTAGTATTTTGAACTAGGGATAAAGGTCTACTAATTGAAGAGAACCATTATGACAACTAATTATACATAAAATATTATAAGATGGATAGAAGTGTAATATTGGAACTTCCACAATAAACAAAACCCATCTTGTTAACTTATCACTTAATGTCATTTTATAATTCCATAGACTAATTTTTATGCATTGCACACTTGATCTGAATTGTGTATTTTTGATCAGCACCTCACTTACAGATGTACATGTATTTGGACTACCTGGATTGCATGCACTTTCAATATGATTTTGATTCATGTGGGTGGGGCTCAAATTAGCAACAAATTATCACATATGTGTTCTTTTTTTCTTTTTTCTTTTTTTCTCACGCTGTAAAAAAAATGAAATAAAAGTCCAATATAGAAGTAATGCTTTGAATGTCAACTTTGTTGTATTTTTTTAATTTATATTTATTCAGCTATTGGTGGAACTGCAAAAAACTATACTTTTGTAAAAAAAGGGAACATTACCTGCACAGATGGATTTTTTAATGATCATTGGCTGGACTAAGGAAGAGCAAAACATAAGAATTGGAGGTGCTACTACCTCACGTTTTTTAGCAGTTTTCTTTTGGCTGTATGTGATTTTAGTTTAATATTGTTATTAACATAACAAGTAGTTGAGGTACTCTAGTTGTATTGCTAATTATTTTGCAATAATATGTCAGGCAGAAGCCCTTTTGTACAATGTAATTGTTTTGGTTTACCTTTTTGGTCTTGTAAAATTGTCTAAGTTCTTTTTGAGTTTGGATAACAACATTAAGACTATGAGCACAATCTGTATATTAAGATTCCTCAAGGAGAAAAGTAGTGTATTTGGTTCACCGCATGGATGGGTCTTCATTTTCATCAAAAATATTCATATTTTGTGGAGTTCACAATCTGTTTTAAAGTTGACTGGAGAATTCTATGAGGCATTTTATAGGAAGTTTTTCTACCCTCTTTTGCATTGATGGCAAAGCCATACTACTCACATTCCTTAGCTTTGTTATATATTGATCAAATCTTTGGTTTAGTAATTGAGTTGCGGTGAATGAAGAAAAGCAAAGTGATGTAGATGGCAAAGTTTTGTTGATATGTTGAAGGCAAAATTCATAAGAGAATGTCGAGTATTCTATTGTTGGATTAGTGCAGACAAATACTGTTGTTGATATGCATCGTTTTTGTTTTATTTCCTAGTTGAGATATTTCAAAGTAAATGGGTAGCTTTCTACTAACATATAACCATAGGTGTAGAGGAGAAACCATAGTGTGTTATCCCATGAATGCCATCCTACTCATTTTTGCTCCCATGGTAGAAATCTAGACCACACTATTCACGATAAGTTGCATCTACATTTGATTTTTTTTCTTTTCCTTGATGTTTGTGATGTTTTTTTTTTTTTTTTTTTTTTTTTTTGTAATCAAATGTATTTACTAGAAATCAAATAGTTTAAGAGGTATTAACTCCCTCAAGTCTCAAAGCACATGGTTCCACTTCAATATAGGTAGAGTGAGAATCAAGTTATATAAATTTTTGTATTAATTGACTTACATGGAAAGTGCAAAGTTAGAAAGGCATTTTAAGGCATCATGTGCTTGCATGTTATCTTCATGCGGTGATCTTGAATACTAACTAATCAAATATAATCATCAAGACAAAGTTCATGAATTTTAGACTAAACCACTATAGCTAGCAAATTTCTATGCCAACATTTGATTTGTAAGTTTTGAGTCTACAAGGCATCTTACAGTTGATCATAAGGTGATTACAGGAGGTTCATAGAATTCACATGGTGTTTTAAATCAGAGAGGCATGAAAGACATGCATTGTGGTGAGTTGATATTTTTTTTAATTATTCGGCCTTAATTTAAACGGCCAAGTCTTTCTTTAGCATTGGATCCTAAATCTCTCTCTCCCCCCTTCTATCTCTCTCTTTCTCTCTCTCTTCTTCCTCCTCTCTCTCTTATGGTTTGGATGTTTGAAGTCTCAGAATCCTTCAAATTATTGTTTGATGCTAATGACCATGTTTTTGTACACAATTTAATTTTAGTGCAATTACATCAATTGGAGCATTACTTATTAGGATTAATATTGTAGATTTTGACTTAGAGCATAAGTGGTTTAGAATTTAGGATTTAGAATATTAGTGTTGGTGGTTCTTGCTGCAAAATGTTGCG